TTTAGAGTATTTTGGTAAATTATCAACATTTTAAGTTATCGAACAAAAGTGAATGCTTTAGTAGCATACGTGCGTTTGTTTTTTAACCAGCGAGGCATACGAGCTAATAAGCCAGGCGTATCTGCCAAATGGCAAGTAGGAAATTCTAGTAACGTGGGATACCCACACTGATTCCTGGGCGGTTTTTGTGTTTCTGGAATAGTATGTGTTAAGAATGTTGTCAGGATGGTGCTAGCATTTTCATTGCTAGGGAATCATAAGCGGACCCAGGGCATTTTCTGGAGGAGGGGCGATTACCAGACTAGCCGGTGCGGTCATGCGTTTCGTGCAATCCAGCCCATCGAACGATTGCCTATTAGTCTATGCAAAAATAGTTCAAACATTGGAAAACGGTTAAAAATTTCACTCACCAGCGCATGAAATCTGAATTCGAAACCTTGAAGAGTGAATATCTTTCCGTAATTCTCGAGTTAACAGTTTACCCGCCAAAAATTTTCACGAGGCCGTAGGTGATACTCAAGAGCGCTGGAACGCTGATTTTGAATAGGCAAGGTTGAGCGCGAACAAGAGGCCATTATCCTAAAATTTCAGCTTCCTAGACTCCGTGGTTCCCGAGATATTAACTTACCCGTGAAAGACTTTCACGGGGCCGTACGTGTTACCCGCAGGTACGAGAAGGCTGACTTTGAATGGGCAAGGTTGATCGTGGGCAAGGAGTCATTACCCTAAAATTTCAGCTTCCTGGACCCCGTGGTTCCCGAGATAATAATTTACCCGTAAAAACTTTCATTAGCCCATAGATGGTACTCGAGAGCACGGGAACGCTGAATTTGAATGGGCAAAGTTGAGCGTCATTACTCTAAAATTTCAGCCTCCTAGACTCCGTGGTTCCCGAGATAATAACTTTACCCTCCAAAACTTTTGCGGGGCCATACGTGTTACCCGAGAGTACGGGGAAGGCTGAATTTAAATTTATGGGATCACACATGGGTGGGGCTCCCCGCAGATTTTTGTCGCTAACGGCACTGGTTTTTCGGCAGATGCTTCTAGGTAAAAGAATTTCAGACTGACCACCAGGACTGTCAGGAAAAACACTCCTTCAAAATTCCAGTCTTCTAGCTTCTCACTTTACCGAGTTAGCAACTTACCCGGAAGAAACTGTCATGGACCCGTATGTAGGCACTGCGCTTAACCGCGGGCAGGGTTTGAACTCGTCAATACCCACTTGGACGAGGAACATCACACTAAGATTTCAGCGTTCTAGCTTCTCAGATTCCCAAGTTATGAACTTACCCGAAAAAAATTTTGACGGGATCGTACGCGAGCACCACGCTTACTCGGGGGATGGGTTTCAGTACATTAACACCTACTTGGACGGGGAACATCCCCCTAAGATTTCAGAGTTCTAGCTTCTCAGATCCCCTAGTTATGAACTTGCCCCAGAAAACTTTGGCGGGCCCGTACGCGGGTACCACGCGAGTGATGATGCCCATTTTGGGGATTGGGGCTGGCACGTGCATGTAGATTAAGCTCCCGAAATTTCAGCCCTGCAACTTTTATAGGTCTTGAGATGAAAGTGCGTGAAAGACGC